CAAAATTAGCTAGGTATAGTGGCATGTACCTGTAGTCCCAGCTACTCTGGAGGCTGAGGTGGGAGGACAGCTTGAGCCCAGGAAGACTGAAGCTGCAGTGAGCTGTAACTGCACCACTGCACTCCAGCTGGGCAACAGAGTGCACCTCTGTATCCACAACAACAGCAAACCAAACTGAATCTAAACTTTATATGAAGAGGCAAAACACCCAGAACAAAGTCAGGAGGGCTGATGTTACCTGACTTCGAGACTTACTGTAAAGCGACCATAATTAAGACAGTGTGGTATTGCCTAAAGAACAGACAGATCAATGGAACAGAATAGAAAGTCCAGAAATAAATCCACATAAATACAATCAGCTTATCTTTGACAAAGGAGTAAAGGCAATACAATAAAAAATAAAGATAGTCTTTTCAACAAACGGTTCTCGAACAACTGAACATTCACATGTAAAAAAGTGAACCTAGACACAGAACCTACACTCTTGAAAAAAAAGTAACCCCAAAAGGATAATAGACCTAAATGTAAAATGCAAACTATAAAACTCCTAGACAATCGCATAGGAGAAAATCTAGATGACCTTGGGTTTGGCAATGACATTTTAGATAAGCCCCAGCAGCACCTTGCACCCTGTTCACATCCCAGTTTCAGTCCTGGTGGTACTAGCTTCACAGAACTAGCAGGTGCAGCCCACGCCTCACTTATGAGTCCTACCTATGGGAGCCCATTTCCAGTTTTTGCCTTAGTCCAAGCAGTAACAGCACAATTTTCCCTAAAACCTCATTCCTGGTGCTGCTAGGCCCCAGGACAGAATGCAGTCTGCCAATGGCTAGGATTGAAAATGGTGCGTCACTGCAGCTGCTTATGGCTCAGAAAGGGTGTGTGACCCAGTACAAGCTCCTCTCCTGGAACAGTTCCCTCTCCTGGTCTTCTGGCAGCTCCCTATATCAGTTTCAGGGATTGGGAAGGTCAAGGGCTCTTTCGTTGCCAGGCATGCATGATTCCATACATGGGGATGTGGGCTGCTAGAAGTCTCTCGCTTAGCCTTGGGAAGTCACTTGCTGATTCCTAGCCAATCTCAGCCAGGTAGGCTGCTTCTCTTCTTTCTCCTTGCTTGCTTTCTGTGTTTCCTGTCACTTTCCTGTTGAATTCCAGTGTTCTATTTTAGAAAATATATCAGAAGTATGATTGTCTATACACTCTTTTGGTTCTTCTAAGTGGAGGAGGTTAGCATATGAAATGCTTCTAGTCAGCCATCTTTTTGTTGTTGTTGTTTTGGAGACAGGGTCTAGCTCTGTCGCCCAGGCTGGAGTGCAGTGGTGTGATTTTGGCTCACTGCAACCTCTGCCATGCCCCATCCCTGGAATCAAGTGATCCTCCCAACTCAGCCTTCCGACTAGCTGGGACCACAGGTGCACATCAGCATGCTCAGCTGGCTATTGTTTTTTTGTACTTTTAGTAGAGATGGGGGTCTCATGATGTTGCCCAGGCTGGTCTCAAACTCCTGAGCTCAAGTGATACACCTGCCTTAGCCTCCCAAAGTGCTGGGATTATAGGTGTGAGCCACCGTGCCCAGCCCTAGTCAGCCATCTTGAAGCCCCTTTGGTTTCCTGCAAAACAAAACATACTCTTACTATTCAATCTAGCAGTTGTGCTCCTTGGTATTTATCCAAAGTAGTTGAAACCGTATGTCCACATAAAAACCTGCACACAGATATTTACAGCAGCTTTATTTATAATTGCACAAACTTTGAAGCAACCAACATTCCCATAAGTAGGTGAGTGGATAAATAAACTGTGAAATATCTGGACAATGAAATATTTTTCAGTGCTAAAAAAAAAATGAGCTATCAAGCCATGAAAATACATGGAATAAATTTCAATGCATAATACTAAGCGAAAGAAGCCAATCTGAAAAGGTGGCATACTGTATGATTTCAACTATGTGACATTCTGGAAAAGACAAATCTATGGAGACAATAAACAGATAGTGGTTGTCAGGGATTAGTGGGGAGGGAGGATGAATAGGCAGAGACCAGAGGGTTTTTAGGGCAGTGAAACTATTTTATATTATACATGATGGTGGATGTATGTCATTATACATTTGTCAAAACCCATAGAAAGTAAAACACCAAGAGTAAACCCAAATGCAAACTATGGACATGGGTGATAATAACGAGCCAATGTAAATTCATCAATTGTAAGAAATGTACCACTCTGGTGGAGGATGTTGATGAATGGGAGACAATGTATGTGTAGGAGCAGCAAGTATATAGGAAATCTCTGTATTTACCACTCAATTTTGTTGTGAATCTAAAACCGCTCTAAAAAATAAAAGTCTATTAAAAAATTTCAAAGAACAACAAAAAGAGCTCTTGATAACAAGATGCAAATCTCCAACCATGGGGAAGTAGAGTATAAGCATTTCCTAAATGTATATAACTAAATATCCTAAATGTGTGTAAAATCCTTTTATGTAGAGCATTTTGCAGGTCTGGTGTTTCTACCAAACAGACTTTGGAAAATGCCACTGGAGTACTAAATAATTATAATTTAAAAAGCAAGATGGCAGAAATGAAAAACTCAATACAAAGTTTGGAAGATATAGTTGAGGAAAACTTGATGAAAGTTGACCAAAAGGCAAAGAATAGGGATAAGAACAGAGATATGACTATTACAGAACCAGGTCAAGAGATTCAACAACTGAACAAACAGGTATGATGGGAGTGAATAGAGAAAAGGAAGTGAAAGAAAATAATTAATGATGATCATTATTTATTTATTTTTTTTTTGAGACAGAGTCTCGCACTATCATCCAGGCTGGAGTGCAGTGGTGCGATCTTGGCTCACTGCAAACTCCACCTCCCTGGTTCAAGCAGTTCTCATGCCACAGCCTCCCGAGTAGCTAGGACTACAGGCATGCACCACCATGTCTGGCAAAAATAAAAATTTTTTTTATTTTTGGTAGAGATGGGGTTTCGCCATGTTGATCAAGCTGGTCTTGAATTCCTGGCCTCAAGCAATCCATCTGTCTTAGCCTCCTAAAGTGCTGGGATTACAGACGTGAGCCACCATACTCAGCCAATTTTTAAAAATTTTATAAAATGAAAGTGTCCAGTATGGTAGGTGAAAATACATCCAAGGTGAAATTTTAGGGTACTGGGAATTAAGAGAAACTTCCAAGAGAATGAAGAGATTTCATACAAAACTAAATATGTAAATCTAAGAATGATTTACAGAAAACAAAGACCTTGGAAAGAGCAAACTGAGACCCTCACCAAAAAAGACAGGTGAACAGAATCTCAAGAAACTAAGAAGGATCCAGGAGAGATTTCTTCTAGAGTATGACATGGATAGAATATATAATGTACTTGGATATAAAGAGAGATGTACACAGTAGGAAGAGAGTTTAAGGTTGAATTAATAATAAGTACACAGAAAAATAAACACATAACAAGAAAATCAACAAGATTTCCCCTGAAAATGAAATGTTGAGCAACAAAGGAAAAGTAATCATCGTATACTATATGGCTCAATTGATAACAGCATTTAACTAGTTATAATAACAAAACACTCAATTTTGATCTAATTAAAATTATAGTATCGTAGAATTGGGGTAGGGAAATATGTGTGGGTAGATAAGGGCAAGGAAATAAAGAAGAGTTAAATTCTCATCTTCTAGAGTGGGTAGTCAGTGGAAAAATAACTAAAAAAGATAGCAATATAGACATGCTATTTAGATACAGAGGTAAATAAAAACATCAGTTAAATTGAAAGTGACTGCCTCTGGGGAATAGTAATTGACAGGGGAATACGAGGTGTGTTTGTCTTGTTTTCGTAATAAGTTGTATAGACCCTTCATTCCTTTAAACTATGAATGTGTATAACTGATACAAATCAAAATACCTTTTAAAAAGTTCTCTACAGTTAAAAAAATGAAAGGTAGGTAAAAGATATAAATGTGGAATATCACATTCAGTCTGTGACAGCTTTTACTGTTAACATTTGAATGGACTGTAAAGGTTATTTGGACTAATCCTATCATTGTATAGATTATAAACTGAGGCTCAGATAGGGAAGTGATATCAAGGTCACACAAAGTGAATCAAGGCCCACTCAAGAGATGGCGACACAATGATCAGTGAAGACTATTACAGCCTGACCATGGCAGGTTCTGTCACCTTCTATAGGTTATTGGAAAGGAAACTATGGCTGAGCCTTCCCTTCAGGCTCCTACATTCTAGGATTTGATTAGAGACATACTCAACTCCTAAGAGAAAGATAACCCTAACTTCCATGGGGATCATGCCAATTGCTTAGACTTCCTAGAAGAAGATGGAGTGTCTGCCGAGTAACAGAATAGGGTTTCACACATTTATCTTAACTTACACAGTAAAAAAATGAGTATTTTTATTTATAGTTACCCCCTTGGAAGGTTGTATATCTGCAGATAGTTATTTTAGTTACTGTCATAGACAGTTTATGAAATAGGAACAGATATGCATAACTCAGGATGATTACCCACCCAGTTCATCCACTAGATTTTGCAACGAGTCAACCACTCATTGGTTGATCTCTAACATCAAGTTTACTTTCATTGTACCAAAGTTTGTCCCTATCAATGATTGTTTAAAAAAAAAAATCAGAGAAATTTCATACATATTTTAAGGGTGGCACCATTACTGAAATGCTGGGAGGATTCTGGAAGGTAGAAGGGATCACTCAGAAGGGAACACCCCTAACTGGGAAGGAAAGTTATTATTCTAAACTAGGCCAGGGAGCTCTTGGTGCTGTCCCTGCATTAGTTCCCCATCCCTGAGTTCATAGAAAACTTACCTAAGTTTGACTGTCTAACATTATTTCAAATGCCAAAGATAAAAATTGTTTAAAAGATTTTACTTAGGTTTACAAGTGGAAAGGCGCTAATGGTGTAAGACAAAAGCAAGTGCAGACACTAGGTCTGGGGCTTGTGCACAGGTAGTCCTGTCATCTGCTCTTACCTGTGGGGGCCTGCATGGCTGAGCTGGGGATGGTGGCAGCATCTTGGGGTACAGTGCTGGTATCCGGTTCAGGAGTGCTGGTTGTTGGTGAGGCAGGTGGTGGGTTCAGCAAAGTTCGAGGTTTCCTCTGTCAAAATGAATGGGGAAAAAATTGCTACCCATGACAGGTCTTTTCATTCTCTATTCTTGGCACTTAATTCACTCATGAAGCAAAAATATATTTATGGATGGAATAGTGTTTTATCTTTGTTTTCTACACAGCATCTGGCTTAAAGCTATACATATACCTGTAGCAGATGCTTAGTAGACATTTTCTGAATCTATATACAAGCCTCTGGTCTTTTGTAGGATCAAAGCTTAATGTATTATCTTTTATACTAGATTCAATATTATCATATGAAGTTCCAGATCCCTTATTAGTTGGGCAGACAAAAGCAAAATATGCTATAGTTTAAGTCTGCTTTGACATTACTTTGTACTTTGTCTCTTTAAAAATGGAAACAAATAAAAAATAGAAATGACCCTTCTAACTCTACAAACAACTTTACTCTGTGTGCCTCTCTCTTCACGTCATTACCTGCCCTTCTTTCCCTTAAATGTCTTACTCTAGTAAATCTCTACTGCTTCTTTAAAAACTGCAATTTTACCTGGTCCACACCTTTACAATGATAAGATGTCTCTTCCACTTGAAATGCTCTCTCTTTTAAAATTTATTTTACAAATTTGTTTATCTAGGAAGCTTTTCTAGTTTTTCTCTAATCATTGTCTCTTTTATGTTACCTCTGTTTTTTGAACTGTTGCATTTGTCAATATATTGTCATGATATGTTTACATACCAGTATCCCTGTTCACTGGGAACTCTTTGAAAGTCTGGTTCTAAGTACAATTCTTAGCATGGTACTTAGCATAAAATAAGTGTAAATAAAATTTTTTATGAAGCATGCAGTATAATAAAGGAAATAATAGAGGAAATAATAAAGATGATTTGAGAAATCTATTATTTCCCCTACACTGTTCAGGGCAGTTTTTGGGAGAGAAGGATCTCAGGTTTTCTTCTAAGAAACAGTTTTCTAAAAAGCTTTTTTTTTTTTTTTTGAGATAGAGTCTTGCTCTGTTGTCCAGGCTGGCATGCAGTGGCATGGTTCTGGCTCACTGCAACCTCCACCTCCCATGCTCAAGTGATCCTCCCACCTCAGCCTCCTGAGTAGCTGGGACTACAGTTGTGTGCCAGCACGCATGGCTTACTTTTATAATTTTTTTGTAGAGATGAGGTCTCATATTGCCAAGGCTGGTCTCAAACTTCCTCCTGCTCAAGCGATTCTCCTACCTTGGCCTCCCAAAGTGTTGGGATTATAGGCAGGAGCCACTACGTCTGGCTAAAAGCCTTTCTGAATGCAAGGCAAACATAACCATCACGGAGATCCAAAAATCCACTTTTACTAAATGCTTCATGTAGGGGTAACTGCTGGGAGCCATATCAACCTGTCTGCCTTCTGGGAGTATGTTCTCTAAAGAGATAGCTCTGATGACAGCAGGCATATATAAGATGGCTTTGCCTGTGAAAGCAATCATGAAACTCTCATGAAGCATTTAAAACACGCATTGAAAGTGAACATCTGCTCATGTTTTTTTACTGCTAAAAGTGAAAATCCAAAAAAGTAACGAATGAGTCAGGGAAGGAAGGAAATACCACCTCAACTTCAATGAGTTGATGGTAGGATTTCATTGGGTCCCTAAACGAACAAGCCTGGTAGGTTCGGTGCCTGAATAATGTAAACCTATTTGAGATAGGTACATGTACAATATTATATGTACTCATACATTATCTCGTTTCCATTTTACAGGTGATAAAATGGGCTCAGGACTTTACCCAGAGAAGTCTTCCCAAAGTCATACAGGTGGTAACATATGGAGATAAGATCTAAACCTAAGTATGTCTGGCTTTAAAGCTTATGCTCTATCCACAAGACTACTCTGCTTCAAAAAGAGATATAAAGCCAGCCATGGTGGCTCACGCTTGTAATCCCAGCACTATGGGAGGTCTAGGTGGGAAAATTGCTTGGGCCCAAGAGTTTGAGACCAGCCTGGGCAACATAGCAAGGCCTCATGTCTACAAAAAATTTTTAAAAAATTAGCTGGGCATGATGGCACATGCCTATAGTCCCAGCTACTTGGGAGGTTGAGGTGGGAGGATTGCTTGAGCCCAGGAAGTCAAGGCTGCAGTGAACAATGATTGTGTCACTACACTCAGCCTGGGTGACAGAGTGAGACCCTGCCTCAAAAATCAAAGCAAAACAAACAAAAAGGGATATAAGGCTCACAGGTGAAGTGGAAGGCATATACACTTGTAGGGGTTGGCAAAAGAACACAAAGGAGAATTAAGAGTATCAAATGCTAGGACATAAAATACAGGAAAAGATGAGAATGACTGCTTTCAAGACGGCTGGAAAGAAAAAGGACTTTGGTTACTACGTTCAAGACTTCCTGAGGGAGCAGAGCAGAGGCAATCACAGAATCAGTTTTTGAGTTCTGAATGATCTTAAAGGCCATTTAACCCAACCATCTACCCAATACTTCTAATTCCCTCTCCCTAAAAGATCCCTCCTACAGAGTCATCCAGTCCCTGATGAAATACCTCTAGTTATAGGGGCTCATTACTTCCATTTGGGGATAGATTTAACTGTTCCTTTTATGTTGAGATAAAGCTTCTCTGCTTGAGTTTCCATTTATTGGTTCTGGTTATATCTTTGGAGCCCCCCAGATAAGTTTTCTCCCTCTTCTGACTGTCCTCAAGATGTCATCATCAAAAGCCATCATCAAAAGCATGGCTTCTCTGGCCTTTGCATCCTTAGGGCCTTCAGCCTCTCCTCTACAACATGAGAATGAGAGGTGGGTAATGAAGGCAAAAATGAATTAGGACCTGGGTTAGTGGTAACAGATCAAGAGGAGCATTATGTGTTACACAGGAAGATCAGGAGGTGATATTGAGAATTCGAAACCAAAAATAAGAGACAACTGAGATTAGTAACATCACTAAAATCATCCATCCATCCATCCATCCATCCATCCACGCACCCACCCACCTACCCTCCTACCCATCTTGCATATTCTGAATATTTCCCAAAAGGCTGACTATGATATAAGGCACCACAGGAGGGGAAAAAAAGAAAAAGATTAGGTTCTTGACCTTGAGGAGCTTATATTCTACAAGGACTGAAGTCAGTGGAAGCTAATAAACAAGCAAAACAAACCAACAGACAAACAAACTAGCCCTAGGGAGGAATTAATGAGATTGAGATGGAATGCCCAGGGAGAACTGGGTATCATCTGTATACTGGAACTCAGGGAGGAGAATCAGAGAAATCTCCTGACAGTTAAGAAATGAGTGGAGGTGGTGATGCTAAAAGGGGCCCTAGAGAAGCTGCTGACAGAAGTCTTTTTTTTTTTTTTTTTTTTTTTTCTTCATATCAATGCCTTCCTTAGGGAAGATACCCATGAAAAACAGGCCATGACTAAGAGGTAGTATTTTCAGTAACAGTGCTCAGTGAAGCTGACTCAGCTGTCTTTTCCAATACTAGAATACTAGAAGTGTTGTGTCCCCCAGGAAATGTGGGAAAGAGTGAATATATGCTAGGGAACCAGTGACCTTGGAAGTAGATCTAAGGACCAATCTCTGTAGGTTTTGCCATTTACTAGCCATGTGATCTTAGAAAAATCATTTTACATCTGTAAGTCTCAATTTACTATAAAATAACATTAACACTATTTATCGCTTAGGGTTTTGTGAAAATCATGGGATATGTATGTATTGGCATTTAATACAGAGTCTGATAGTTAGTGGGTATTCAATTTTTTTTGAAGAGGTACAGATAGCAGAAAATACATTCAACCTGAAAAAGCTGATTAAAAGAAAAAAAAAACACATTTACAGAGTTAATTTGTGCTTTCTGTCCACATGATGGACATCTACTTTGGAAAGGTTAACAAAGAGCAGTTTCTTCCATGTACACTAGACCAGAATCTCCTCAAATATGAGTAACTTTCAAAGTTAAAATTTGTTTCCTATCCTCCACAATCCTATCTTTAACGTTACCAACTCTCAGGTAAGTAGCAAGTAGGGATGATGATCTAGGAAATTCCTCTTACAAGCATATACAAGATAGAGAAGAGGGCCAGATATGCCCCTTTCCAAGAGAGATGGGTATGGATGAATGACCGCCCCCGCCCCCCTCCCCCCACCCGCCTTATTTTTTTGAGATGGAGTCTTATTCTGTTGCCCAGTCTGGAGTAGAGTAGTGTGATCTCCGCTCACTGCAAGCTCTCCCTGCCAGGTTCACGCCATTCTCCTACCTCAGCCTCCAGAGTAGCTGGAACTACAGGCGCCCGCCACCACGCCTGGATAATTTTTTGTATTTTTAGTAGAGATGGGGTTTCACCCTGTTAGCCAGGATGGTTTCAATCTCCTGACCTTGTGATCCACCCGCCTCGGCCTCCCAAAGTGCTGGGATTACAGGTATGAGCCACCGCGCCTGGCCGAATGACCCCTTTATAATCCCCTATCCCTTTCTGGGAAATCCACATTTTACCTACCTTGCTGCCAGGTTTGGGACCTCTCTTCTTTGGGAATTTCAAAGGTTCAGCTGTCTTGGATGGGGCAGAGATGGGATGGGAAATTAGGGTCTTGGGTGTCCGGCCCCGCTTCTTTCCTGGTTTACGCCCCCTCTGCCCTGGTTGATGTTCCAAGACAGTTTTGGTGCTGCTGTGGATGCTGGGCTTCTCAGTATTCACATCCGAGGCAGGATAGGGATTCTTTGGAATCACAACTGCAAGAAAAAGACTCATTCTATCACCCTCCCTCCCCCATGCATTCTCATCCCAGCCAGAAGGAAAAAAGGACTTGCCACTTCTGCTTAGGTAGTTTTGTTCCAAGAAGCTGGTTTCCTGGCATTTGACCTAAACGTTTAGGAAATCTCTGAAGAAAACTGCATTTAGATTGGCTGGAATTGGAGGTTTTAAATTATTTCTGGCAGATGCAAAAATATATTAAATTTTTCTTCCTAAGGCATCTTAGACAAGTATTGTGACCTAAGTCAAAGCTGAAGTATATAAATATTAACAGAATCATAGGCTCACAGTTGAAAAGGCTCTTAGAAACCTATAATTCTCTCCTGCTAAGAATGAAGGTCTAAGGCTCAGAACAGGACACAATGCCCTCCCCAAGTTACATAGTGAGTTGAGGATAAGAACTGTTTTGAAATTGAGCCCTGATAACTATGCCAGGGATTTTCTACATCAATCTACTTGAAGTTTTAGTTTGACTATTGCAGTGAGGAGTAGAGGAACATGTGGAAATATAAATCTGATAGCATCTCTCCTTAAAATCCTTTGCTCTTAAAAACCTTTATTCCTCATTACCTTTAAGGTAAGGTCTAAATTCTTTATCCTGATTTCTAAGGACTTTTCTGACTCTGCCCATCTTGCTCTCCCATTATGACTAATGTCATTTCCTATCATCCCACCCCATGTTCTAGTAGCCCTATATGTTGAGCTATTATTTTTTATCAGACACATGTCAATACTAAATTTTCAGCACTCGATCCAGGGCCACCTCCTTATTGAGGCCTTCTCTCACCATGTCCCAACTAAGTCAGTGCCCTCTCTTTACTCCCAAAGCATTCTGTAGACATCTATGTTACAGTACTTCTTAATTTTACTCCAGTTATTCATTTTTTCCTTAAACTGAGAATTTTTTGAGGTAAGAGATATCTAATTCATCCTACAAATAGTGAGCACTTACTGTAAGTTATACACTGTGCTAAGCCCTGGGGATAGAACAGTGAACAAACCAGACTTCCACTCTCATGGAGCTTACCTCCTAGTGAGAGAGACAGAAAATTAAAAAAATAGCACAATATACAGTAAAATGTCAGGTAGTGCTAAGTGTTGTGATTAAAACTAACGCAGGGTAAGGAAACAGAATTTTAAGGGAAGTCCTCTTTGAGAAGATGACATTTACACAGAGCTCCCGAAAGAGGTAAAGGCACAATGCCTTATGAAGATGTGAGAGGGTATAACAAGTGCAAAGATTATGAGACAGGAACATGTTAGTGTGTTTGAGAAATGGAAAGGAGGTCAGTAGAGCTGTAATTGAGTGAGCAAAGGGGAGGGTAGAGAGAAATTAGGTTAAAGAGTGAGTAGCAGTAAAATTGTGTAGGACTGTAGCCTGTGAAAATGAACTGAACTTATTCTAAATATAAAGGGAAGCCACTGGAAGGTTTTGAGCAGGGGAGGGACAAGATATACTTAAATGGACCACTCCGACTGCTTTGTGAGAGGGACAAGAGTAGAATTAGGAAGACCAGTTAATAAACTATTATATAGGGCAGGTAGAAGATAATACTTCCTAGGCCTCCAGGTAGGAAGTGATAGTTGTGGTAGTACAATGTTAACGACGTAACAACTAGAAAAAGTCAGAGTAATTATTTAAAGACAGCACAGAGCTGTCATGAGGATTAGATGAACTGGAATTCCAGGGGATGGCCTCTGAGGTAGCTGATACTGTTTTCTTTCCTGAGGGCATCTGCTAATTTTGGCATAAACTAAGGATCAGGCTTGGCATGTGGTGAGGGGCTCCACTGGAAGAAAGAGAAATGAGAGCTGCTGTGACAAACTGGAAACTTAAGGAGCCCCTTCATGTGGCCAGTTTTTCTCACTGGGTATTTGCTGAATTTTGGGTCAGCACACTGGAACTTTAAAGCTTTTAAAAGGCAGAATAAAACCTCCTATAATCTTGTGGTTTTAGGAGACAAGGTTCCACTAGAAGTAGGTGGTATACCCCAAACACATGGCTGATCTCCTCTTAAAGATATTTTAAAACTATAAGGGGTAAAAGGTAATAAAACTAAGCCCCAGACCTCTCAAGGGTAGGACAATCTCCTGCAGTGTTTCAGGGCTAAGAAGATATAAATTAGGTTCTCAATCCATGTCCAAAAAACAAGGATAAACCATAGGCACAATCCAGACGTAGTCTAACTCAATCCATAATTAGATTGAGGTGATCAGGTCCTATCCTATTAGAGTCTACCAGAGGAAAGGAAGAATTCTTTCTCATGGAAGATACCAGTTGGAGCCTCAACAGTTCTTTTAATATAAAATGTTTGGCATACTACAAAAATTATTAGACACAACAGAGTCAAAACAGTGTGATGAGTAATCAAGAGAAAATATAGGCAATAGAAAGAGACCCATATATTATCCAAATAATGGAACAAACACACAGATTTTTAAAAAAATCATAATTAAGATGTTAAAATGTAAAAAGATGAACAAAATATAAGATAGTACCCACAGAAATATCTATAGAAAAATTAAATGGACATATTATAACTGAAAAATACAGTATTAGGAAGAACTCATTGCATAGATTTAAGGGCAGACAAGAGCCAACAGAAAGGATTGATAAACTTGATGAAAAAATAGAAAACATCCAAAATAAAGTACAGTGAGAAAATATGAAAAAACATTTTAGAGCATTAGAGATAAGTAGACACAGTCAATAGGTCCAAAATATGAGTGGCTGCAACCCCAGAGGGAGAAGACAGATAGAATGAAGAAAAAGCAATACATGAAAAGATAGCAGCAGAGACTTTATCTCTAACTAATGAAAGACATCAACCCACAGATTCAGTATGCTTATGGATTCAGCAATCCATAGTAGGAAAAATGCAAAGAAAACTATGCCAAAACACATAATTGTCAAACTGCTGAAAATACAAAAGATGAAATACAGATGAAATAAAAGACAGGGAGGAAATACAAAGATACATTTTAAAAAGCAGTCAGAGAGAAAAACAGCATTACAGGAGCAACAATAAGAGTGATAGCTGTCTCTTCAATAAAACTGTGTAAGCAAGAAGCAGTAGAATAGTATCTTTAAAGGGCTAAAAGAAACAGACTACCAAAGATAGAATTATACACCCAGTGAAAATATCCTTCAGAAATAAAGGTAAAATAACGAGATTTTTCAGATAATCAAAGCTGAGAGAATCTCACCAGCAGACCTAACTAGGGAAAATGAAAAGGAAGTTCTTCAGGCTGAAGGAAAGTAATTCCAGATGGAAACATGAAACTACAGGAAGGATAAAGAACATAAGAAAGGGTAAACATTTAAGTTGATACAAAAGGATACTGATTATTTAAAACAATAAAAATGGCTTGTGCCATTTATAACATATGTATTAATAAGTTATATGACAGCAATAGCACAGAGGATGAAAGTGAAGAGTAAATGGAGCCAAATTTTGGTATGAATTTTGCATTATTTGGGAGTGTTTAGAGCACTTAAGGTAGATTTTAATAAGTCCAATATGCATATTTGCATAGGGCAATTAATTAAAGAATTATCAGTGATAAGAATGTATTACTAAAAAGCTAAGGGGAGAGAAGTAGAATAATAAAACATGCTTGATTAATCCAAAAGAAGGCAAGAACAGAGGAATAAAGAAATAAGGAAGAACTTGGACAAATAGAAAACAAAAAAGCAAAATGCAAAATGTTGACTTAAACCCAAATAAATAATTATATTAAATAAAGGTGGATTAAGTAAAACAATCGGTAGGAATAAATGAACAAACCAGACCAAAAAAAGAAACCTCAGAACTAGTTTTATTTGTTTATAAGAGGGCCCCGAGATACAAAGACACTCAAAATATAAAAACGCAGGAAGATAAAAGCAAACAGATGAAAATAATATACTCTATAAACACTAACCAAAAGAAAACTAATAACATGAATAACCAATTAACCAACCAATCTACCTGATACATATACCTAATAAATATAGAATATGCAGAGACAGTTTCATCATAGATCCATCAGACATTGGTAAGAGAACAGGATAGTATAAATAACTTTATGCCAATAAATACGAAAATTGAGATAAAACGCCACGCAAGACCAGCCTGGGCAACACTGTGAGACCCCATCTCTACAAAAACAAATGGTTACTCGAGAGGATCACTTGAGCCCAGTTCGAGGTTGCAGTGAGCTATATTGCACCACTGCACTTGAGCCTGGATTATAGAGTGGATACCTCATCTCTTAAAAAACAAAATAAAGCAAAAAATACCACTGACACAAGTAAAAACAGAATATGAAAAGCCTCATATATAATTAAAAAATTGCAACTGCAATTAAAAATCTTTCCACAAAGAAAATCCCAGGCCTAAATGGCTTCACTGGTGAATTCTGGCAAATATTTAAAGAAGAAATAATAACAAATCTTGCAAAGTCTCTTTTGAAAAATAGAAGAGGGAACACTTCCCATTTCATTTTATAAGGCCAGCATAACCCCCATACCAAAACATGACAAAGATGTTACAAGAAAAAAAAAAAAAAAAACTAGACTAATATCCCTCATGAACATAGATGCAAAATCTTTAACCAAGTATTTGTAAATTAAATCTAGCTCTCTCTATATATGTATATCAGATATATAATCCTATATATATATCATATCATAACATGTAGGATAATATATCATAACTAAGTGGGATTTATTCCAGAAATACAAAGGTTGTTTAACAATGGAAAATACAATCAGCTGAACACATACATTCACTAAATGAAAGAGAAAGCCCATATATCATCTCAATAGATGAAGAAAAAGCATTTGACAAAATTCAACACCCATTCATGATAAAAATTATCAATAAACTAGGAATAAAAGAGAATTTCCTTAGTCTAGATAAAGCAATCTATAAAAAAACTATAACCAATAGCATTCTTAATGGTGAAATACTGAACACTTCTTATTGAACTATGG